AATTACAGTTGGTCTAAGTTAAACATATGGGCTGGATAAGGGCGACAGCAAATGAGCTTTCTAACATCATTATCAGTACATCTGCCATCTATTTATCATGGATGGTTCAACTGAAACATGTAAAAATTGAATGAAAAATGTTTCAGAACAAAATCACAACATTCTAATTTGATCGTCTGTCAACACTGATTTGGTATTTGATTGAAGAAAGAACATGTATTTGGTCTTCAAACATTCAAAATTGTTTGGACCATTGACATTTATTTTAATACTAGACCAAATGTCTGCCTTTTCTCACTGAGAGGACCTGGTTTATGGGAGGTGGCATGTTGTAGTTTTGGAAACAGAGACCGTGTAATAGGAATGTATAGGGTTTAAGGTCCCGCCTGCTCCCTTTCGCACAATTATGGTGTTATATGATCATTTTTTTAAAGCATGGATTAGCTACATGAGAACAATTTATATTGCAAAATCCAGTTTGTTTCTGTTGCAGGGGCATGGCTTGTCATCATGACTTGTTCGGGGACCAGCCTATGGGGTTGCAGTTCCCCTTTCAATTTCATCTTTTGGGATCCTTTACGGCATCTGGAATTATTTACTGACCTTTATTTGCAGGCAAATTCCACTGAGATCACAGATCTATTTTGCAAGGGAGGCCTGGGGCTGAAGGCAACTTATTGTGCGTGTTGTTTCATCTGTGGGAGGAAACTGGAGTAACCAGAGAAAACCCCATTCAAGCACAAGGTGAACATATTAACTCCTCACAGAAAGACTCCAGATCTAAAACCAGGGACCAAACTCAGAACCTCCTCGCTATGAGGCCTCTGTGCTAACCACAGAGCCATTGTGCTGTGTTATAACATGCAAAGATGGTCTCCACTTCATACTATTATAAACATAGGGAATCTCTTATCGGCTGTGTGTTAATACCACTAATACTGAACGTCTATAGAGTCTGTGCAAATATGGATTCAAGAATGCTTTTTCTGCGATGATGCACAGTGAAAGATACAGTAGTTACACACTGTATACACACTGTATACAATTACATACAATCAGCCCATTGGCCATTCAGAAATGATTTTCAGACAAAGGTTAGGATGAGATTGTTGAACTGCACTTGAGACTGAGTTCCAGGGTTTGGGCATGTGAGTCACTGGTACACTGCACCTTGTAATTAACCTCCATGTGCTTTGTAGCCTAACACCTTTTGAGCAGGTTATCAAGGTATAGGCCGTAAAAGACACTCAGCATATTTTGTGGATACCCTACCCCAGTGGTTCGCAACCCTGGTCCTCAAGTACCCCTACCCAGCATGTTTTAGTTGTTTCCCTGCTCTTCATCAGGTCTTCATAAGGTTGTTAATCACTCATTCATTCAAACCAGGTGTGTAAAATCAGGGAAACATATAAATATCACTGCTTTCAATGTTGACCAACACCTCAAGAGCTTCTCTGAGCTTGATGAGATATTTTCAAAATATAATGTTGACTTAGTTTTATGTTTTTTTTAGTATTGCCTCCATAAGCCATTGATTCTTTGCCATTCATTTGTAAATAATAAATCAGATAGCATGTATTAAAGCAGTGATTCTCAACCCTGGTCCTCAAGGACTGCTTTCCTGCATGTTTAGATGTTTCCCTGATTTGACACACCTGGTTTGAATGAATGAGTGATTAACAATCTTCTGAAGACCTGCTGAATAGCAGGGAAACAAGTAAAACATGCTGGGTAGGGGCTTTTGAGGACCAGGGTTGGGAACTACTGCCCTAGCCCGTTTGGTACCAAATGGGTGACCAACTTTAGTTTCTCCCTGCTGCCACCCTTTTAGACTTGCTTGCAGTTTGGTTTGTACCCCTAATAATTTGTAAAGCTTATTGTGCAAATTAAATTCAGGACTTTCCAATTAATGCAAAAGACCACCAGTTGATCACTTTACTGCTGTGCCAAACTTATCTCCCTGAACATTCTTTAATTGACACTATACAAGTCTCTCATCTAATATCCTCATATTTCTTAAAATGAATGAATAAACAGCTTTTGGATCAGTCATATATTTTCTGACATTATCACTGGATTAACCATCACAGCTGCCAGTAGTGATTTCAGAGCCATATTAAAAGGAAATCCAGTGTGGTACACTTAAAATGCTCTTTGACCATCAACATTTTTAAAGAAGATGTTAAAATGAATCAAGGAAGCTGACTTCTCTCTGAAAAAGCCCAAGAAGTCGATGCTTGATTTTTATATTTTTATTTTTTATTATTTATTTATTTTTTTGGGTGGGAATGTACTGGTCAGCTGCCCAATCAAGTCTGGCAAGTTCAACATTTGGGAATAGCAGCATATGTAGAAGCAATCCCACCAGCTGCACTGAAAGGATTAGATGAACACTAAACAGATAGTTCTCGAAAGTGTACTACATTTAAAATGATACAGAGAGGAAAACTGTGGTTAATTGAAATAATGGCAAAGATAATAAATTAGAGAAATGGTTTATGATTCATTTTCTGGGTAGTCAATTATTTAATGATTGTTTCAGCCCTGCAGTGAAACTGACTTCCTAAAACACACACACACACACACACACACACACACACACACACACACACACACACACACACACACACACACACACA